GACAAGGTGATGTGATTTCTATCTAATTGGACATACCATCTAGCTACAAAACCTATGAAACTATCTTAGAACACATGGATCACTAACTTATCATCATTTGTATGAGTAGCCATTTTGTGGCAATACATGGTGACATAAGTTACAGGGTATTTGGTCCATCATATTTTTCAAATTCAAGGATTTTAAATCTAAGTGGGATCACCATATCAAGCACCAGGCATAATTTAGACATATCTATGAACCCATACAAGTCCATCCCTTCAACATTCTAAAGTTTCTCTTCTATTATATTCATCTTTTGAGAAGATGAACCTTGTACTACCTTGGAAGTATTTAGTTTTACTTTTTCCTATTCCTTAAAATCATCCAAATTAGAAACTTGAATAGGATAAGATACCATTTCTCCAAAGGTAGGATTAATGTAAGCTTAGAACAATTCCTTGAGAAACTATAGATGACATTCCTAGATATGTGTATGGATATCCCTAAAAAAAAGTTGTTATCCTTATTCCCTTTGAGATGTTTGGGCCTAGTATAGGCTATATCCAAGAGGATATAAGGGGTTTACAACATATTGGGATGGGAGGTCTAGCAAAATAGAAGTTTTTTCTACAACATTTCCTTTATTCATTTTATTAAGCATCTTTATAATTTTTCACAATTCCCACTTGATTTCTATTTAGGCCTTGTTAACCTTTTCAATTCAACTAGCCTATTCTTGCTCTGTAAGCTTTGCTTGAAAACTAGTGTTATAATTGTGATGGGTAAGCTACCCAAAATTCTCTAGTGATGGAGTTATCCTTGAACCTTTTTACCACAATTAGGACGACGTGTTACTAAATACCAAGAATCATCCTAACTTGTTAGATAAATTCTTTTATATGCATGAATGAATGATGAATGCATTTATTAGATGTGATACGTAACAATGCATGGATGAATAAATGAATGCATGAATGGATGTATAAGTTAATGTTTACCCCATAATGATGCGTGAATGAATAGATGACTACCTATGTTAACATAAAAATTTAATGACACATGAATGGATGAATAAATGCATAAGATGCTAGATACATAAAAATTTAATGATGTATGGATGAATAAATATATAAATGTGTTAATGTTTGTCACATAACAATGCATGAAAGACTGAATAAACCCAAACTATTACAACTTTATCACAAAATTCATACTACAAAAGTTTCTTCTTATGTCTTAACTTGGGTTACATTCTAACAATAAGTAAACATGGCTCTAACCTAAAAATGGTTTCTTATGATTCATTATATTTAAGGGTTCATTATATGCGGGGTTTGGATGTCTTGACAATCTAAACATCCTCAAATTGCTCCTTACATTATCCCTAAATTGACAATTAATATGTCATCCACATATAGACATATGATAACACCTTTTCCCTTTTCAAACTTACTATAGACACATATATCAAATTCGTTAATTTTAAATCCATTAGCAAACACAAAATCATTAAACTTTTGATGCCATTGCTTATGAGCCTATTTAAGTCCATATAAAAACTTAATTAATTTATACACTTTCTTTTTTTGTCTTGAAAGTATAATAAAGCTTTTCGGTTGTTTCATATATACTTCCTCATCTAATTCACCATTTAAAAAGGTTGCTTTAACATCCATTTAATGGATTTCAAGCTTATAAATGGAAGCCAATGCTATAAGCATTCTTATTATAGCGATTCTTGCTATTGTTCCATGGGTACCAAAATAATGAATACCATGCTTTGTGTAAAAACCTTAACAACAAGTCTAGCTTTGAACTTATCTATAGTTCCATTGACTTTTTTTTTTTTTTGAAAATCCAGTTGTAACCAATATTTGCAACAAGGAGGTAGATTAACTAAGATCCATATATTGTTCCCCATAATAGAATCCATTACATCATCTATAGTTTCTTTCCAAAAAGCTACATCTTGAGACTTCATTGCCTCTTCAAATGTCCTAAGATCAAATTTCATATTGAAAATATATTCAATATGTTTGTTAATTATTTCTCTTGTTCCTTCAACTAGGAACATGTAAAATTTCAAACTAAAGGTTTTAACCTTTCTTGCTCTTTTACTTGTTCTAGATACAAAATTATCTTCTTTTTCAATAGAAGTTATCTTTTCTTGCTCTTTTGAGTTATCTAGAGAAATGTCTTTTGAACTAGATTCTAGCTTGAATTTATATTTCATCAAAGATAGCATCCTTAGATTCAATTACCATATTAATAGGTATAGAGTTATTTGATTATATCACCATGAAACTATATGCATTGCTATATATGTTGAGCATAGCCAATGAATATACATTCAATTCCCTTTTCACCTAATTCTTTCTTTTAGGTTCAAAAACTCTTACTATTGCTCTATAGCCTTATACCTTAAGATAATTTAAGTGAATCTTTCTTTTCTTCCATAGTTCATACGAGATTAATTTGTTCCTTTGTTAGTAAATCCTCTTTTGGATAGGGCATGAAGTTAACAATATCTCACCCCTAAAAACCTTGTCCTAAATCAGAGTATGACAACAAAGTATTAACTATTTTGGTCAATGATCTATTTATCCTTTTAACCACACTATTTTATTATGGACTATAAAGGTGTGTAACATCATGTATAATTCTATTAGAATCAGAGAAACTATGATCAAAATATTAACCTCCCCTATCAGTTCTCAAAGTCATAACCTTATAATTACAATGTAATTCTACTTTATTTTTATAAGTTTTAAACTTATTTAATGCTTCATCTTTAGAATGCATCAAGTAAACATAGCAATATCTCAAGCAATAATATATAAAAATTATAAAGTACTTTTTACCACCTATAAACGAGTACTATGCAAATCATATACATCACTATTTATTAATTATAGGATTTTAGAACTTCTTTCAACTTTATGAAAAGATTTTCTAATTATCTCAATAAGCATGCGTATTCTACATTTTCCATCATTTCTTTTGACACTTGAATTAAACTTGATTTAGTTATTACATTCATTCTACTATAATGAACATGTTCTAATCTATAATGCCAAATATCAAAAGAATCAAACAAGTAAGCATTATTATTATTATTATTAATCATAATAGGCGGCGGTATTAACATTTCCCTTTCTTTTTGATGTAGCAATTCCCTCGTGTTAGCATTACTTATTGAACAAAAAGTAAAGATAAAGCCCGCATGCGTGCTATCTGATCATGCTGAGTTGTGAACCTGTGAAAGTCCTGATATATGATTTAAAACATTGAATGTTGAACAAGGCTGTCAAAGGTTAGGCCGTGCTGTGCTCATTTTTGAGCGAGATCAGAAGAGAAATTTTTTTTCTTTCAAAGACCCATTCTCATGCTGCCACAGCAGAATTCATCCCAAAAAAAAGAAAATCAAAGTCAACAACAGTACCGTTGATTCACATTACACTTATCTGCTTGCACAAGTTGTTGAGTTCAGATACCTCAATAATTTTCCCTTGCACAAAGTCTTTAAATGCCCCTTACTCGATTCTATCGAAGAAAGAAAAAGCAAAAGAATTCAAACTTGTCCTTTATTTTTGTACAGTGTAATTTTGTCACTATATTTTTTAATTATATAAAAAATAAAATATTTGATAGAATATTAATAATTTTTTGGATGATATATTATTTTATGCTTAACTTTTGATAATTTTTGGATCAAATTCAATAGTACAGTGATAAGATTGAATCTATCCAAAGATTATAAATTTGACCCATCACTTTAATAAAATGATAAATTTAAACTTGTTCCAAAAAAAAAAATCTAACTAAACCCACCACAACGGTCAGTTCGGTTAACAAAGAGGTGAGTTCTTGTGAGACTATTTTGGGAATTAATCTTTGCAGGAAAATACTAGGCCTCATGCTACTACACCAATAATGGACCTCATTTTACTTTTCCTGCATGCCGTTTCAAGCGACAAAAGCCTATAGAGTTGCTATGATACGATATAATGGGTAGAATAACTAATGCTTTATCCTTCTTCAGCATTTGGCCTTTGGGGCTTCGAATCATGATAGTTTTAAATGGCAACAAAGGGATCCATACGAGTTAAAACTTGTCAGACTTTATTTTATGCATAATAGTTGGGTAGTCTATTAAACTTCTATAAACGTGAATAAATGATTATAATTCATAAGAAACCACCTTAATTTCCCCTAAAGATTGAGACAGAGTAGGTGGCAGCTCGGTGGCTTTTCAGCAACACACAAAGACAAGAGTGATGGCATTGGCATGGAGCGATGGGCAGCAGCTGCAATTCAATTTCACTATTACATTTGTTTTGCTTTAATTTACATCACTTATCTCAGCCACGCGAGAATCAATACCATTTTTTTTCTTTCAAAGTCCAAAAAAGAAAAAGGTTATAGATTTTAAGAATAGCTAACAAAACAAACAGAAGTAAGCTCTCTACTATTTTTATTTGTAAATTTAACATAATGTGTTTGGGATTATCTCACAGCAACTGGTCAAAGAATCATCTGATAAAGTTATGGAACTTCAGCTTTATAATGTACTTTTATCTTTTTTAGGCCAAGCTCTTTATAATGTGAATAATCTATATTTGGAGGGCTTCATTCAGACAACCCCAACGCTAAAAGACTAAGAGACGTCCCATTCATAGAACCAAATAATTGCTGCGGTAGAAAGTATGGAGAATGTCCCCACTTCAGAATATGCAATGTATTTAGCCTTAAAATACGGTGGAATTTGGAGTGCACTTCACTCAAAAGTCTTTGATACAAGGATGGCTCTCTCCAAAATGAAAGAAGAAAGAAACAATAATAATGCCATTATAATATTTTTGGCAAAGAAAAGAAGTGGAAAAATGAGAATGACATAAAAACTTGAACATCAGGGCAGAGGCCAGAAGGAGAGAGAAAATCAAAGAGATTTCTTTCGATAGAAAGTATATGGCATTTAAGATTACAAATATATCCTATAAATTATGACGAGAGAATATAAATGAAAAACATGAAAAGAATAATCAGGATACAGGCTTTGTGTCACGGGTCAAAACTTAAGTTTCGAATTCGTGCGATTTCGGGATCCGAGCATCCACTCATCCGACACCTCAGATCAATCTACCTGTCACGATTCGTATCCTTATGAGGTATTGTCCGCTCTGACCCCTGGTCTTACAGTTTTATCCTACAAAATGCGCCTCACAAGGCAGAGGTGATGTAAACCCTTTTATATCTCAATGACCCTCCTATTATGTTCGATGTGGGATTCAAGACTCTTCCTTAAATCCGTGACATAAATCCGTGACATTCTTCCCCACCCCACCTCGTGACGCTCTCGTCACGGAGGCTGATTACCCTACTTACCGCCCTCGAGATGCTTGACGTGGATCAAACGGTTTAGGGTTGGCTTTGATATCACTTATCACGGGTCGAGACTTAAGCTCCGAACCCGTGCGACTTTGAGACCCGAGCATCCACTCATCCGACGTCCCAGATCAACCTACCTGCCACAGTTCACACCTTTATGAGGTATTATCCGCTCTGAACCCTCATGAGCTCATAGTTTTGTCCTACCAAAAATGTCGCATAAGACAAAGATGATATAAACTCTTTTATACCCCAGTGATCGTCAAAACTCTTCCTTAAGTCCATGACAACTACATTCTTGCAAATGAAGGTTTCTCACATTGTCAGCAATAACAGCATGGCCTACTAGGTGAAGTCGTTTGACAACCGAAAAGAATTTCCAGCAGAGAAAGCAAGTCTGTCAGCATGCATGAAGTTCAAAGAAATGATGACCACACCAGTTAACGTATATCATCCAAAAACGAAGTTAATTATCCAATCACAAGTTCACCCACAGTTTCTCTACGGCAAAAAGTGTAATCAAGTTTGTTGAATGATTACATTGAATCCTTGGAAGTCGGGTAGGGGAATGGGGCAACAGGCAGAGTTTCAAAGAGGATTGTGCGGACGGAAAAACGAATATTTTTGTTATCAAGAATACAACATCCAAGGAGATGTATGAGATTGAGGAACTATACTAAAGAAGGATTCATTTATGAAACCTATAAAAAGATCAATATAAAAGTCTGGTGCACAATCCTAAGAATGAGACTAATCAACTGTAAATATCAATGATGAAAAACTGGCAGAATTCATGGCAAGACACCGGAAATTGGCAGCAACAGAGAAGGATTTTATCAACAGGAAAACCAGTTAAGGGCATAATGCCTGTCGAAGGGTCAATAAGAGGAGGCAAGGATCCTCATAAATGTCTTTCCGTTTTGAGAGTATTGCCTGACTTAAAACGGAAAATGTAACTTTGCCAAATCAAACAGTGAGATAAGTCTCCTTATTTCAGGCACTTTAGTCTTGTTTTGGGTAGAGACTTGAAGAGTCCATCCATGGGGAATTCTTTCTTCCATGTAATGGATCATATACGAGCTTCTATCAAGAATTTATTTTTGCAAATATATGTCTCTGCATACCGAATACCATAGGAACCCTGGATCAAGAACAATGTAAGAAACAATTAACTCGAAGCTTTTGTATAACCATTATCAAGTAACTGATATATGAACAATACAAAGCACACAATATTTGAGTTTGAGCTTTTACAGTATAACCTTCAGATGACTTTCATTTCCTATGACCATAACAACAATATGACATACACAAGATAGTAAAAGACCACCAGAGTTCCTTATTATCTTTCAGGAATACATATCACAAACCAACACCAATAAAAAGGCAGACATTAAAACAGAATTTAAAGATATCAACCAAACCCTTCTTTCAAAATTGTAGTTGCTTTCCTCTTAACTGATTTATATTGGCTGTGAAGTTCTGATTTGTGGCTTCATGTTATCACTCGGAAGTTGAGAAGATGCATCTGGCAAAACTACTGCAGCGGCTGCAGTCATGGTTTGGTACTGAGAAGGCATTGTGGGTGCCAGAGGCTGAGTGTAATATATCTGAGCATGTGCAGGATCCGTGAATTCATAAGCATATGTGGCAGTTGCAGCGGAGGGAGGTGCAACAGATTGTGATGGATGATGAATTTGAGAGTAACCCACATATTGTTGCTGATGCTGACTATTTGGCACTTGAATCAGCTGCGGAGTACCAGTAGTTGTTGTTCTGTATACTCCTGTGGCACCAGCCATTTCAGGTTTGGCAATAGGAGCATTTCTGTATGCTACAGGAGGAGCCATGGTAGGATTGGGAGGAGTCTGCGGACGGCTAGATGGGATTGCAGTAGTGGCTTCATTAATAGTAGGTTGCTGGACAGGCAAGTTGAAGGCTTGGGGTTGCCTCGCAGGCACATAATACAGGGGATATTGCTGATCAATCTGTGTGTGATGATGATGGTGTTGCTGCTGAGAGGGGAATACAGGGTAATAAGCTGAGATTGGCACCGCCCCTGTGGGGTGATGATGAATGTAATGTGGTGCACCAGCATGTAAGAATTGCTGTTGTTGTTGTGGTTGTTGCTGTTGATCAAATTGAGGTTGCTGAAATATATAACCAGACTCCTGAACTGGTTGTTGAATCTGAACCCCAGCGATTATGTTGGGGTCAGAGATATTAAGCTTTGTATCAACTGGGTTTGTAGGAATCCTATTAGCCCCAGATGGGATTTGAACAACTGGGTCTTGATAAATCACAGGTTTTTGGCGTGACAATGGATTCGTAAAACTACTGTCACTGCGCAAATTAAAAACACACACACACACACACACACACACACAAAAGAAGAAAACCAATCTCAGCTACTTTTTAAAAGTAAATCCAAGCAAGATTAAAGAAAGAAACAAATTCAAGGATGATGAAAACAGTACCTTGAGACGGAATCCGGAGAAGCCAAATCATGACCACTGCTAGACTTCTGTTGATTCTGAAGAGGCAAACCCTGAGGCTGTGACTGTGGAGGTGGTGGTTTCCTATACCCAACAGGAATCCCATGATCCGATCTCTCATCATCCGAAAAACCCCGATTCATATACTCCCCAGGAACCACACCTGAACTCAAACCCACCCCACCGCCAGACACAGGTATGCCCACCGGCATCGGAGGCGGCGATGACAAAGCCACAAACACTTCATCCTGCAGCTTCACCCCTCCACCAGAAGCAGCAGAAGCAGTCACAGTAAATTGAGCAAACTGTTCCTCAATCCCCATAATTTTATGATCCTTCTGATCCTCGGCGTGGACTCGAATAGGAGGCAAGTTAGCAAGAGAAGGAGATGAAGAAGTTGAACCAAAAGAAGAAGTAGTTTCAAGCATAGGAGAATCAGGAACCGAGTGAACATCTTGACTTTTCAAATTCATATTCTTCTGACTGCCACTACCTTCATCTTTCAAACCAACTTCAACAACATTTCCCTGACGATCGTCATCCAATCCCAACAAACAATTCACGTTCGTCGCCGAATCCGAAAACCCTCTGTCCAACAACCCTGTCCCATTCAACGCGTTAAGAAACCATTCATCAGACTTCGTGGAATTGTTAATAATCGGCCCAATTGAATGGGAAGACACCGGGATCCCCTCCGGATTGAGAGGGAAAAGAAATAGGCGAATACGGGAGGACTTGCTTGACGGCGTTGTTTGGGAACAAGTACGGTCGTATTCATCGATCATGTTTTCAAGGTCTTCATTGGTTGTAACGGAGATGAGAGAGTCGAGGTCTTCGGAGGGAAGTTGGTACTTGAGGGTAAAAGGGCGGCCCTGGAGAAGAGAAAGGGAGAGGCGGTGGTGGAGAGAACTGAGGGAAGTGTTGCGTTCCACGACTACCATGCGAGTGTCTCCACCGATATAACATAAGGCTTTGTCGTGGGGACGAGGGACGATGGTGCCTCCATAGCTACACATGAGCCGGACCTTTGAGTGGAGAGTAGGGGGAGGAGCTGGGTCGTCCCATGAGTCCGTGTTGCGGGATCGTGGCGAGGAGTCAATAGAATCAGGATAGGTAACAGGGATGGCAGGTGCGGTTGTGGTCGTTGAGGTGGTGGTAAGAGGGGGAGCCGCCGCATGTGGCGGAGGCGCGGGTTCCATATTGGGGATTTGGGCGGGTTTGGAAATAAAGAAAGAAGAAAAGAGAAAAGGCAGGGGCCTGAGGTCGCTGAAATTTGATGCTCTTATAGTTACTCAACATTTGGTTTTGCCTAGCTGTTCATTTCTTTTTTTTTTTTTTTTTAATTTCAATCAATTTGTCAGAAGTTAAAATCTTTCTCACTATTCACCTACTTAGCTACGCTATGAAAATACAGCACCATAATCTATTTTTCTGTTTTTACTTATCAATTTATTATTTATTAGCATTACTTTTGTAATTTATTATTTTCGCCTACATTAGCTATTTATGATGAAAACTCATAATTAGCGATATCTCCCATCAATGCATTGATCATAATTAGTTCAAAACAATACATAGAATATCATTTTCTAGATTATTAATGATAAATTTCCAAATAAAATCTTTATACATTGAAATGAATAAAATTATGACCATTTTTTAAAAAAATAAAAAAATTTATTTTTATTAAAAAAAATATTTGATTTACAAAATCTAAGATTTCATATTTTTCGTAATATGATTTTTGTGTTTGTTTTACGAAATTTATAATACTTTTCTCATGTCGAAGTTCAATATTTCCAATAGTATCAAAAATAAAATAAATAGCCTAAAATAAAAAAATTCTCCTCTATTTGAAGTTTTCTTAAATTCCTAGTAGTATGCAAAATATTTTATTTTTACTCTCAATAACTGATATTTACGATCTATTATATCATTTAATATCATAAACCTTATATCATAAATGAAGACTCAATTTAATATGAATAGAAGCATTCAAAATCTTAATGTTTGACATCTAACATTGCGTATGAAAAAATATTATTTTATACATAAAAGAAATTAAATAAGTTCTTTTAGTTTATTTTTAATTAAAATTTTATAATTAATTTGATTTTATTTAATAAAATAATGAAGAACTAGTTAGTAGGGGCTTTGACAAAGAGAAAAGAAAAAGAATGAATCTCATTAATTTAATAACAATAACATCAATTTTTTTTAAAAAAAAAAGTAAGTTCTTTATTTTTACAATATTTCGATTCACAAAAATAACTTGTATTGACCCATCTTTTAAATTGAAAAATAAATAAATCAAATATTCATATACAAATCTTTAAAAAAGTTTATTTTTATGTTTTTTTTATTATTTATAAGTAAATTTTTATAAATAACACAAATTTTAAAGGAATTAAAAAATAATTAAACTTTTCAATACAGAAAGAAAAAAGTGTTTTAACCAGGTTGTCCCATCCCTTAAAATAATTAATATACTTATATTGTTTTTAGTAAATTTCATATAATCTAAATGCATACTATTCTTTCTGTTTCAAAATAATTATCCTATATTGACTTTTTTTTTTTATCAAAGTAATTTTACTTTGACCTTATTTTTAAACATAAAATATTAAATTAAAATAAAAAGAAATATGTTTAAAAAATTTGAAACTCAAAGTTTACAAATCTTTTTTTTAATTTTCTTATTTTATTAAAAATAATGGTCAAAATTGAGTTAATTTAAGCAAAAAAATCTATAAAGGACAACAATTTTAGAATAAAGAGAGTACTATATGTTAAATTTATGTAAGAGATGATGTTTGAAATATTAAGCACCATCTATTATCATAATAGAATATAAAATTTACATGTTAAATTTATATATAGTAGATAAAGATTGAAAAAGTAGATGCCATTTATTATCGTAATAGAAAGTGTAAAATTTACATGATAAATTTATATATATAAATAAGTTACAAGAAAATAAAGTAAGTTGCACATGATACAAATATATGAATTAATTTAATTAAACACCTTATAAGTTAAATAAATATATTATGAAAATGTTAATAAATCAATTATTTAAATGATTTTATCAATGTCAAATGTTATTCATGTGTCATAAAAAATAATATAATAAAAGAATTCATTAGGTAATATTATATTTCGCGAACCAAACATAAAAATTTTATATTCTTTTATGTTAAACCAAACATAGTAATCTTTCATTCCCTAAATTTTGTCAAGTAAGATGATTATATGAATGTAATACTTAATTATTATTATAACTTCAAAAAAAAAATTTAAATATATATACAAGTATTATAATAACTAAAATCAAATTGATAAATATCCAATAAGGATTCTTTTCTTTTTTTTTTAACCAAACCCATTTTCTTACTATATTGTGCATGTTCATTTTCTTTGAAAATTGTTACATGCAAAATTAATTACCATAATTAACTTAAATATTTTTTCATTTTGCATAATTTAAAAATATCATGTGAAAAAGGTTAGAAGATTTCAATTTATCATATCAAAGTCTTTACTCTATTATAGTAAAATATATTTTTTTATTTAAAAAATATAACTTTTGATGATCTGTTTTACTTTAATACTTAAAATATCAAATATGATATGATAATATGTTTACAATGTAAAATTTTAATGATTTTGTTTATAGAAAAAACTTTATTAGTGAATTTATAAGTAGAAATTGAAAGATCAATTGTTTAATTATTATTTTGTTATGCATATATTTATACATTAACATATTTATAATTGTAAATTTTATTATTATACGTTGGATCTAAATTTATTTATTATTAGTAAATTTGATATATTTTGAAAAAAATTATTGTTATAAAATATTATTTCAATCTCTTCAAAGTTAAATGAAGATCCCCACAGCTAAAAAAAATATTTTTTAATATAACATACATATATTAAAAATTGAGTTAAATAATAAAAAATAATTTTAAATAAAACTAAAATATCCAGAAGTATGTCACTCACTTTAGTGGCAAAAACCCATTAACTATGAGGCCTAGATATAGAAAAACGCGTTTTCGTGCTTTTGGGGACAAAGAAAAGAAATTGAAAAATTAAAAATAATCCTCAACTCCAAAAAGCAGAACTTCTACGCAACTCCGGCTCCACGCCCACGCCTGACGCGATGGTTCTGTGCCTTTTTTAAATTGGGTCAAATTGTACAAATCATACTTTTTTACTCAATGTGAAATGGTGGATTTAGTACCTACACGTTAATCCATCAAAACCAAGTCCTTTTCATTTTGTAAATTGATAAATTAAATCTAATTAAAAACAGAGTTAGGAACGCCGTTAATTATGCTGATATAGTTTTTTTTTGTTTTGTTTAGGACCTTAAAATATTTGATAATTACTTTAAATTTTGATTATTTCAGAGTATTGAATTTCATAAAAAAATAAATTCTCTCAATGTTATAATTTTTTATTTATAAAATTCAAAATAAAAAATTTATTTAAAAAAATCAAATTTTTTATTATTCAGACTAATAAATATTGGTAATTATACTGATATGGTTATTGATTATAATGACACGACATTGATCCATTTAATATGTCAGTTTTACAAATGTTTCAAAATCCAAGCTGATGGTCTGAATTTTTTTTGACATGTGGCCTATTGTGGGTTTCATCTTTCATGGCAATTTAATTTCCTTAGTATTAATAAATACTGAAAATACACCTCATTCACCATCTTCAGTTTCTATTCTCTCTTTAAGAAACCAAACCCTAGCTGCCTCTCTCCTATCTCATCACTCTTTGCCAATCCTCTCTCCCTTTCCCATATTCTCTTTAGTATCTTGTTTACTTCTTTTATCACCTAAAGCGTGCCTCGTCTCTCCTTTTATCTCGTATAATCATGTCCTTTTCTGTTTTTCCTCAACGCCATCAGAGTTATCGCCAGTTGTGGTAAACTCTCTGTTCTTCATTTTTTTTTTCTTTCCTTCCTTTCTCTTCCTTCTAGCTAATCTCCATTTAATCTCTTCTTTTTTTTTCCTTCTCCTTTCTCTTCTTCATTGACCAGATCTCTTTCGAGCTGAGACTCCCTTTCTTTTTTTCCATTACATTCTTCTCTTTCTAGTCGAAACCAGATACCCTTAACAAACTTTCATTTTCAAAATTTAAACTTTTGGTTTGAATTTTTGGAAATTGTATTTTCACAGTTGATTTTTAAAAAAAAATTAATTTATGAAATTTATAAACCCCTCTCATTTGGTTTATTCTTTACATCCTTTTGTTGGTTTGAATCACTGAAATTTGTCATTAAGTAAGTGTTCTGGGTTGATGAATGAACAGGTTAAAGTGTTGGTTGAAAGGTGTTGTTCAAGGTAGATGAATTGGGTTCAAATGACAAAGCAACCACTGCTCTATAAAACGACAAAAAAAAATTTCTGTCACTTACCACTTACGATTGAAGGTTCATTAACTTCCATTAAAAGCGCAAAAGAAAAAGTCTCGGGAATTCAAACTTCTTAGGTATGGCAAAGTGACAAACATTTTTTCAGGTCTATTGTAAAGTGGCAAATTGACTACTCATGAAAGATAAATATGCATAAAATTATTTATGCTTATGCCATGGTGGCTTGCTTGTGTTCTGGCTTTTGGGTTACAATTTTTGAGTTTCTTTTTAATGTAATTTTCGTTTTTTTTTTAATTTTTTATGCAAGAAAAAAAAATTACCGACTTGGCTTTTTTATGTAAAATGATTAAAAAATTTTCAACGTCTCCAAAATAAAATTTCATGTCATCGATTTTAATTGAAAAAAATTTCAAAAATGCCATATCAGATTGGTCAATACCAGCACATTACAGCCAACACCCTCGACAACAATATTAAGTGCTTTCATTTAATTTCGTTTTCCATTTGAACTCAATTTAATAATTTCATTTAAGGATTCAATTTTCATCGATTAATGTGTAAGGAAAAAAAACCACCCTCCTATAATTTCCAAGCTGAGACCGCAAATGCGAGGGAATGAGTCACAAGACCCCACGCGCTGAAACTCAAATTGCCATTGGCTAGACTGCGCGAGAAATCATAGGAGGTGACGCGCGTGGGAACTGTCCGACGGTGGTCATGAATAGAAGAGATGCAAGCGCCGTAAAATCGCAGAAGGTTTAGCCAAATGCTACCGCAACGAAAATCAAAGCATTAAAAGATTAATAAACTGCGAATGTTGAAAATTAAAGAATAAAAAAGCAGGCGCCACCCCTGTGTTCTGATTTCTGAATGTTCAACGT